TTCTTTAAACCACCAGAATCTTCATGTCACAGCACGGTTGCCACTCACATCACCGCCATCCAGCGTGCATGCCAGTAACCCACACAAAGTTCCCTAGAGAGGACAAGCAAGAATTTTGGGGATGAGGAAGGGAAAGGATAGGGAAGGGGTTGGGGGTGGGGAAGACAGGACGAAGGATGGGGGGGGAGTGTGTGGGGGGGTAGGGAGGGACTCTAAGCTCTGAGAGCCATTGTGTAAGTCATCAGAGAACCGTCAGCATTAAGTGGCAATCTGCAAGTAAAAGCTATAGCAGCCGATGAAGGTAAACCAACTTCTCTGGGAGAAATAAAGAAATCTTTCCCGGTACCTAGCATTTCTCATTCTGCTGCCTTTTGCCATTCCCAGACACAGCAATCCATCCTCCAGCTTCCCAGTTCCTGAAGCAGGCAGGCCTCCCGTGCTGTGCAAGACCCCAGTTTAAAAGCTATGCAGGATAGGTTTATCCATTTAGCTGGTCAGCTTTAAAGTGTTTTGTAGCTGTGCTGAGAGGCAGCTCTTGTCTAATTCGGAAGGCTTTCCAGAGAGTGATGATGCTTTGGAGCTTGTTGGTGCTAATGTTCTAGTTTGTGATACACTGAGTGCCCTCCACTGGAGAAAACAGATCGCACATTAAAGGCATGAACAAGTGATCCTGTCATTGCTATGCAGACTTTCTTCCTTCAGAAAAGGAAATTAAAGACACAGTATTGCCTTGCCCACCATCATCCCTTCCCGGACCCCTGTGCCTTCCCTAGATTATTGAATGTTTCTATTGCAGATTTTCCGGCAGACAGTGTAAAACACTAAAAAAACCCCCACCGCTTCCCTGGGTATTTGGCAACCTGATCGTTCTCTAATCCACATGACCTGTATCTTTTTCTTGGGCAAATTCTAAACTGTTTTTCTTTTCCTGTACTCACAGGGTGAGAACAGGGAAAGGAACGTCTGAAGATTAAAAGTGAAAGTCGTGATAAAGAGTCGAGGGAGGCAGGAACTGTACAAACTGATCATCCACGCAAAAGGCATTTAATTGCATGCATCAAATCCAAATGTAAACATACTGAAAACAGCTTGGTTTTTCTTTTTTAACCTAAGTGTCTTTTAGTCAGGAAAATACTGAGTTTGGTAAACAACGGAGAGCTGAAGCTGCAGATTTAGCGACACCTTTTTCCTTCTAAACCCCTCTTCTCCCCCAGCTCTCCCCCATTCAGGAGCAGTGACTTCTCGCAGCCAAGAGCACTGGTCTGCATTTCAGCAGCCTTCAGCCACACACCTTGCGGTCTGATCTAGGCTATGACACTTCCAACAGTGTTTCACCTCCTCCTATTTGTCTGGCTAGCTTACCGGGGCTGGAATTAATTCTCACCCAGTTCACCAGAAAGATGTCGGAGGGCTTTGGAGCAAGTGCAGTACCACGGAGCGCAGCCTTAGCCCTGTACGCCAGCAGCAGCAGGGAATCCAAGCCTCGGCGGAGCCCCACACAAGCGCACCTGTACCATGTTCGGCTTCAAAGCAAACTCAGGCTTCTCCAAGGGCAGCACTGTACCGTTCCCTAACGGTTTGAACCTGGGTTCTAAAGCTTATTGTATATTTGTGCTGCCTGTCCAGCTGCTCCCTCTTCTCCCTGTGCTACACAGACATCTGGTATTTTGAAAACATTTCCCCACCCAAATCTTGAGTTTAGATGCCAAAGTCGCAGAAGTACTTTTTATAAGGTCTGTCATGAGCTAACGATTATGTGTTATTTTTTGAAATATTTTTAAAATATTTCCCATTATGACTAAAGAGCATGCTGCTCAGCATTCTACAGCCCGTATCTCTTGAGGTTTCTGTGTACTACTACTCGTAATTCCACTCTATAACAAAAATGAAAGTTGCATGAAACTCAAGGACAGATTCTGAGCTCTTTTATTTCAGTTCCTTATTCCTGGCTCAGATAAAAAGACCATTGCTTGCCCCTGCAATCCACCCCGAAGGAAGTCGCCCCTGCCCAGCCCCAGTACCTGCTCTCCTGCAGGATCTCCCTCAGAGCAAAAAGGCTGGGACACAGAATGGGCAAAGTAGTTCAACTCCATTTAAAAAAAATAATAATCCACAAGACAATCCATAGAAGCCAACTTTTCATCCCCTATATCTGCATCCAGACTGCAGCATCTCAAAGCTTCTGAATAAAAAACCTGGTTTTGTTTGTCCTGTTATGAGAATTCTATAGATCAGAGATTGATTTCCATAAGAAAAGTATCATAATTAATCACTAGTGTTATTCTGTGTTGGCCACTGAAACAGATACCTCCCTCAAACAAGATTCAGAACTTAATTATCATAAATGATGTTGAAAGTACTTTTTCCTATATCTCTATTAACTACATCTGCACTACAGTCAGTATCACTTTAGCTAGCATTCATACGTATGCATGATATAATTTCCTAATAAAGGTAAAAGCTAAAGTGTGCAGTTATTACACCTTGTATTGATAATTCTCCAGGAAGAGTCCATTTGAAACTCTGCCAGATCTGAGAATGAATTGAGGAGAGCAATGTCTAAAGAAACTGTACCGATTTTCAGGGGATTTCTTTTCCTGGATCCTTTGATCCTATGAGAGCTGAAGCAGCATTGTCATAATCTGTCCTACTGCCATATACTTACTGAGACTCAAAATCCCCACATTGCTACAAGAAGTTTTAAATAATTTTGTTTTCATAAAAATCCTGTGATATTGCAATGGAAAATTTCACAAATTCCAAACCAGAA